GGGCCTGAACTCTGGGCCTGGGCGCTGTCCCTCAGCTCTTCAGCTCAAGGCTAGCACTCTACCACTTGAGCTACAGTGCCACTTCCGGCTTTTTTTTTCTTTTTGCTTATGTGGTACTGAGGAATTGAACCCAAGGCCTCATGCATGCAAGGCAAGTGCTCTACCACTGAGCCACCTTCCCAGCCCTTCTATGTTGTTTTATATGTCAGTTGTTCATTCTTCTTAATTACTGAGTAACATTCCATTGTGCAGTTACAGCCTAAATTGCTTATTCATTTGACAAGCATCGGAGTTGCTTGCTTTTGGGGAGGTTCTTAGGATAAAGCTGGTATTACAATATGTATTAATGTACCGGTCTTTCTGAGTACTCATATCTTCGTATGTTAGTCATCTTACTTGCCATATCTTTGTATCATGTAATATTCCCGTCAGAGATACATGAGGATTTCAGTTGCTCCATGTCCTTGCTACATTTGTATTGTCAGTTATCTTTAATTCAGGTAGGTGTGTAGTGACATTTCCTTGTGATTTTAATTGTTTCTGTGATGATTAACATTTTGTACATGTGAACATACACTTTGGGGCCATTCTTTTATCTCCTTGTATAGCATTTACTCATATATCTTCTCAATTTGGAAAACTTTTTTTTTCCCCCTCCCAGGAAATAATGAAGATGTTTCATTTTCAAGACCAGCAGATCTTGACCTTATCCAGTCAACTCCCTTTAAACCTCTGGCACTAAAAACACCACCCCGTGTACTTACACTGAGTGAAAGACCACTAGATTTTCTAGATTTAGAAAGACCTCCTCCAACCCCTCAAAATGAAGAAGTAAGTAGAATTTTAAACTCAGTTTTATTTGGAAGTGTAGGAGTCTGTAAGTCATACCATTATTATATTTAAGGGAAGCTTTCCATATGGAACATTGTTACTATCAGTTGATTTTTTTTTTTTTACATTTCCCAAATGAAGTGTTAATGTTCTTCAAAAATTTTGAATATTACTCATGAGGAAAGGGTAAATCTTGTGAAAAGTAAATGCAGGGCCATCGCCAAAATTTGCACGTTGAGTTGTAACCTTTTTGTACAACAAGTAAAGATAATTTTAAAAAAAATTTTTTAAAGAAGAGTGATAGTTTCCTAGTAGTAGGTGTTTCTGGTTTTTTAAGTTCAAAGTTTGTGCTGAGGGAATTAAAATATTGATGTCATGAAAAAAGGCAGCAAGAGACTTGGAAAACTTATTAATCAACTGTTCTGTGAGCTTTTGTAGATAAGACATAAAAGTGATTGAGACCTGCTCCTGCTGTTTGGAAGTTGGTTCTCTGCCTGGCTGTACAACAGTTGTCTGACAGAAAACCATCAGCCCTCAGAAGATAAAAAGTTCTTAATAACACAGAGTAATGGACTGATGAAGATGGCCACATAAACAAATGATAGCACAGCATACTCCTGGTTGGAGGTCATGTCTCCCAGATGCCCAGAGTCCCCATATAATTATAGCTGTGAAAAGCTTTGTTTTGGACTTAGAATTCTGCTCTGTGTTTCCTCTTAACTATATTAATAGACATTTGTCTACTCAGTGCATAACAACAACCAAAAAAGGGCAACAACAAATAAAGCAAAAAAAAAAAAAGATTCTAATAAAAAACAACCCAAGCTGAGCACTGGGAGCTCAGGCTTATAATCCTAGCTACTCAGGAGGCTGAGATCTGAGGATCACATTTTACAGCCAGTTGGGCAAAAAAGTCCTCATGAGACTCTTATCTCCAATTAACCACTCCAAAAGTGCAAGTGGTGCTGTGGCTCAAAGTGGTAGACCTCTCGCATTGAACAAAAGAGCTCAGGGGCAGCACCCAAGCTCTGAGTTCTAGCCCCACGACTCACCAGAAAAGTAAATGAAAAACAAGCATTTTTTTTGAGTGATTAAAGACTGAAGGAAAAAAAAGTTTACAAGGATTGCCCTCAGAAGACTATATGGGGTATACTTTGACAGTAATTGTGGAATTAAACAAATGTGATAAATTCCCAGAGTGTATAGCACTAGGAAACAAGTAAGCTGAGATTAGACTAATTTTGAAGGCCTACCTTATTATTTTACTAACTGCATAACTTTGGGCAAGTTACTTAGTAATATACAAAAATAAAAGTAATGAAAAATTCTTCATAGGATTATCATGAAAGCTGGGACTGGCAGCACAGACCTGTAATTCTAGCTACTCAGGAGGCTGAGATCTGAGGATTATATTTGAAGCCAGATCTGGCAAGGAAAGTCTGTGAGACTCTTTGTCCAGTTAACTACCAAGTGCTAGAGCTCTCGCCTTGAGCATAAAAGCTCAGAGACAGTGCTTAGGCCTTGAATTCATGCTGAGGCCGAGTTACACACATGCATGCATGCATGCACGCACACAAACACACACAATCATTAAAACACATTAAAAGCTCAATCTGTATAGATATAAAATTGTATTAAATATTTAATAATGAATTATAAATAATATTATAAAAGAGTTAAAAGATTGGTCTCTAGGCCTATAATCTTAGGTATTCAGGATGCTGAGATCAGGAGGATAGTGGTTTTAAGCCATCCTGGGCAAGAAAGTCCATAAGCATAGCACAGAAGCAGAGCAAAAGCAAGGCTGAGTTCAAATAGTTTCAGAGAGGGGGACATCCTATAGCAGGAGCCCAATCCTAAAACCTAAGAGAAATTTCTAAGATTAATGCCAGCTACCTATTGAAAGGTTTCGATGACCATAGTTTGTTTGTACTTCAAGTGTACAGAATAGTCTAGTACCCTGTTGACGGTGATTTAGATAACCAATGAGCAGGAAAGAGAGACAGAATTCTTGCCACTGCTAGAAATAGACTAAATTAGAAGTCCCAGAGTTCTGCTAAAATTGACTATTCATACATTTGGCTTGTGAAGCAATATAAGGACTGCAAAATCATTTAGTACATAAGGAGACAATCGTATACTTTTCTCCAGCTTCCCATAGCTGACTGTATTGATAATTGTGTGTGGCCTGTGAATGATGTTATAAATATTCAAATAGATCTTGGCAGAAAAAATGTTCCTCCCCCTCTGATTCTAAAGGCAGCTCAGAATCTATAAAGTGAGATAAACTGAAACTCTTTGCTTTGTAATCATCCCACAGTGAAAACCATGGTTTCCTTTTCTTCCCTCCCTCTTTTTCTCTCTCTCTTCCTCCTTTCCATTGTTGAACCCAGTGCAGTGTTAGGTGAGGTCAGTGTTTCTTTTCCTCAGCACTTAAGGCGTTTTGGACTGGAGAATTCTCCAGTGATATTGTCCAGTGAGGCTGTTGTTTTGCACTTGTAGAATGGTTAGCAACATTCCTGATCACTATCTGGCATCCAAAGATTTGAATTCCCAAAGCTCAACCACAATAAATGCCAAGAGCTTTCTGAATGTATTTAAATAGGAAGAGAAACCAAACAGACTTTGTAAAGGACAGGCTATAAGAGTTTTGGTTGAAAAGAGCAATCTTACTTAAAAGAAGACACTAGAATGCCATCCATTTATAAAATAAGTCTATATAATGTCACTGAACCCCCAAATCTATTCAAATGGGTCAATAATCAGAAGTGATCTGAAGGAAGGAGCAAAATGAGTGGGCCTGTATAAACCATGACCTGGTTTGAAAGAAGAGTAAAGGCAATGAGTGTTTTCAGAAAGGGACATATTTGTTAAGAAGCTGTCAGTGGTATCCACACGGTGCTAAATCCTACAGCAGTCATGTGCAGAGTGTACAGCCAGAGCTTCAAGCACTAGGAGATGTAGTACTTAGCAAGAGCCAACCTAGTCATAGATCACACTTTGAAAACAATGCTTCAGTAGAAGCTAGGATAACACACATGCTGTGAACATCTTAACAGAACACTGAACGTTGCAGTTTAAGTATAAGGAAGCAACATAATTATTAGTACCTTATTTATGATGGCTCAATTCCATTGACATGACCACTATGAGTATGTGAAGTAAAAGACCATAGCTGATCTGAAGTATTCTGAACTACTATGTAACATAGCCTAAAGCCTATGTAGAAAATGGCCAGTCCACTCAATGTATACTTAAAAGAGCACTGCAATAGCTTAGGGAATCAAGAACTTGACCATAGTGTTAGGACAATTTAATGGTAGTTTATTAACTCTCTTTGCTTCCCCATCTTCTGTAGAAAGAGGAACTAGGACTGTAATAAGCTGAATAGAGCAAAAGTCTGGAGCAAAGTGAGGAAAGAGAGAATAAGTCTGTTTGTAGTGTACACTTGGAAGATTTTTTTGGTGTACACTCACAATTCATGCCTTTGCTATCACTGTGATACATTGTTCCATGTTTCTTTCTGCTAACTCTTAATCACTGACTTGGCTGTTTTCCACGTTATTTATTTAAAATCTTGAGCGTTGAGCATGTTTGTGGAAACTGTGAGGGTGTTCAGTCCAGTTGTCCTGTCCACATGTACTTTGTTTTCCTCTCTTCTGATCCAAGAGTTCCACAGAAAGCAAGAAGGAATCTGCAGTAGATGCTGAGGTATCTGAGCAGATCCTTAAAGGATAGTAGGCTTAGCATAGACCCAAAGGACCAATAAACGGAAGCCTGAAAGGTATTTATTTGGGTTTATGAGTAACCTAGTGTAACTTGTGTTTAAGCACATTAAAGAGGAGTCTTACCTGTATATGTACTGAATATCTAGCACTACACACTTTATAAATATACCAGAAAACACCGTGACCCAGTAACCAAGAAGTGCTTTGACTCTGAGGAACTGTATTTCTTATTCTGAAAGAGAGTAAGACTGGTTCTGAGTGACAATATTAAGATCCTAAGTTGAAAAGCATCCACCACTTCCTTGAACTAAATGATAAAAACATTTGAAATGTCATTATGCTCTTTATCTAATCAGTGTTTGGACTGGTTCTGAATGACAATATTAAGATCCTAAGTTGAAAAGCATCCACCACTACCTTGAACTAAATGATAAAAACATTTGAAATGTCATTATGCTCTTTATCCAATCAGTGTTTGAGTTCATTAGTTTTATAGTATACAGGTAGGTCACATTAGAAAGCAAAAGAAATAGAAGTTTTTGACCTGTTATTTCTCCTCATTTAACAATAACCTCAAAGATAACTATCTGTGTAAAGATGTTTTTAATATCAGATTTCCAATAGTGCAAATAACAAGAGACTTAAAATTCAAGCTTCTTGGCCTATGTTAAGGTCATGGACATTTGCCTACTTCCATCATTTCTGGCCTACTTAATATGAGTTCATACATCTTACCAGAAAAAATGGTTCTGCCTCAGTAAATAATTTATTTGGATCCCTTCTATACAGAAAAACTGTTGTTCTTCAGAGAAATTACAAACTAGGAAGGCAAGGAACAGTCAGATTCAGATTCTTCTACAGCAGTCTAGTACGTAGCTCACCGTACATGAATATATGCACTTGCACTTGATAGTATTGTTTTATATGTAGCTGCTTAAAAGTTAACTTTGACTTTAGTATAACCTTAAAAAGCTCCAAACTGATTGCTCTGTTTGTAAAGTTGGTTGTTTGTTTTTCCACACATTCTCACACAGCTTCCCTCTCACACCCATTGTGTGATCAGCATTTGCCTCCCATCTTCTTAGTGTCCTGTGTAATTAGGCCTTTGATGACCTAAGTGAACATGATAACAGTAGGGTATAATAGCTATTCGCATTGAATTTACATTGTTTTCCATTAGGTATTAGAAGTACCCTAGAGATAATTTAAATATGAAGAGGGAGGTAACAAAACGTGCCATTTTATGTGAGGTTCTTTAGCATCCCATGATTTGTATATCCTGAAGTCCTGGATCCAGTCCCAGTGATACTGAGATGTGACTATTTTACCAGGCAAAATTGATATTTTAAAAGAAAGTAGGATAACTTATCTGTAAGTGTGAACAGGCATTCTAAACTCTATCTGCATTATAATATAAGCACAAGTTTTTTAAAAAAACAAACAAGTCTTAACTGTACTACATGACTGGCAGCAATTCTTGGTTGCTTTTTCTTTGTTCCTTGAAATTTCAGGACTAAGGTTCTTTGGATGCAAAATAGCTACTAAGGCTACTAAGGATATTTCCTGTTCCCTTCCCTTTCTTTGTGTCTTAACAGATCCGTGCAGTTGGCAGGCTAAAGAGAGAGCGCTCTATGAGTGAAAATGCTGTTCGCCAAAATGGACAGCTGGTCAGGAACGATTCCATGTGAGTGGACACTGAGCATCTTTATACATTTTCTCCATAGAATGTGTGCACATCTTGTTCTAGATAATTGCTTCCCATCATATGTGAAGTTTTTTACATCACTTTTACATTTTAACTCTAGTTTGTCATAAAGTCTGATCATTTTGTTAGTTATAAAAATTTTTCAGTCACATTATCTGCTTCTTTGTGTCTGTATGTTCCTGTAAGTATTATTTCCTTGTTGAGGAAATCTATAAAGTATACGTAAGACAAATTGATGAATTCAAATATTCTATTATATGCAAATTCAAAAATGTTTAACTAGTATATAAAACAAGAAGATTAAAGTAAAAAACTATGTTTATATTTTTAAGTTAACATTGCCATAAGATTGTAAAACAGCCATCTCTGTTCCTAATGAGCTATACTGTAGACAAATAGAATTCTACTTATTTATTACAAGTATCTTTTTAGCTTTCTACATAATGGCTTGTGAATTATTAGGTTCCCTTCATTTTCAAAAAACAAATGCATGTATTACTTAAAGGACTATTTGTTTAAATTTTTTTCATCTGTGGATGAGTTTTCACATCCTGATCTTGAAGCCACCATAGATATTTCAGATCAGACAAACGTATTTTTAGTGTTTTATTAAAATTAACAAATAAACTACCCCTTGAAAACTGGTCAGAATTTTAAATCTTAAAGCCATTGGCAGTGATGCCATTTAAAAATGGATGATTTGGGCTTAGATAAGTTATTGCTTTTCCTCAATAATATTTTGGTTGGTTTCCAAGAACTCACCTTGAGCACTATGATACCATGATAACTTCTCCTGGAACTCTTGAATAATTAATTAGATGATACATCTCTTCTGAGAGTTTGCAAATCTAGATAAAAGTGAAATTAATTAACTTTGTGTATAAAATAACTGGAGCACAGTGAGGACTGGGACTGTTAATAATTGATCCTTGCTTCCAAAGAAGTGTGAGGAGAGGTTCACTGGCCTTTCCAGCTGATCAGTGAAGTTCCAGATATAGTGTAGATTATTTGCTTTTTTTAAAAAATTGCATTCTTTTGTTAGTTGCAAGAGAAAAAACTATTTGCACCTAACTTTTCTGGTTTTTTGGAGAATCTTAAGATGTCTCCTAAAGTAGTTGCATTTATGTAGACAGCTATATAGCCTTATGTCTGAAGGCTTATATAGGAAGAAATCAAGCTAAAATGAATCTGTAGCTCCTTCAGGAAATATTTCCCTGAGAGTTTTAGCCATTATGAATATGACTTTTTTAAAATGGTTGAAAGTGTGTTCCCTAAAGTGTGTGGCTGGCATATGTGGTGTCGTGTCAATCCTTGGAGTTTGTTTTTCTAGAATATTTCCACATACCATATGATACATAATTTATTGTTAAGAAATATTAAATGTATACCTAAGGGCTTTTGTTATTTGCTAGTTATAATTTTTTTAAGCTTTCTGGCAATATTTTTTCCTACTGCATAAAGATAGATCTTGCTGTTTAGGTCCTCTGACACTTCATGTCAATAAAATAAAGAGTTCTTTTATTATTGTATTACTTTTTCTCAAAACACATGTTATTGGTAGCTAAAGAGAAAGAAAATTGCTCTATGTGTATGAAAATTACATAACAGCTTTATTTTAACTTACCAAATCAGTTCCTCCTAGCACAAAAGATTAACAATGCTTATGTTTGATGGTTTTTTTTCTTTAAGTTGCCTTAATGACAATTTCTACATGTTTAATAAAACTGGAAGTATAATGTTTTAAAAAATATTAGTTTGGAAAGCGCAAGTCACATGAATCTTTACATATTTCCACAGTGAAATGCCTTGGACTTTACCATACTTTTTATTATGGATGTTTATATATGTTGCCATATTATAGTAAAATACTTAACTATCTTTGTATTAATAATGAAATCTTCCTCTTTCTTTTCCTTTCATTTCATAATTCATCTTTTAAGAATCTGCTACATCTTATTAACATTGAGAATTTTGTGTAATCAACATATTATGTGTCCAAATTAATGTGATAAGGAGGAAATGATTAATTAGTGTAATACAGCTATATTTTACCTCTTCCAACATAATTATGAAACTATTGCTGACTTTATCTGCCAAAATCGTCTTTGTGATGTTAGGTAGATTGTGTATTATCACTCATAACCTTTGCCTGCCTGTTTTTTTTTTTGTCCCTTGCCTCTGAGAATAGATGTGGAAGTGGGTATTGATCAGAGACATTGGTCTTTGTTTTCTTATTGTCATCTGTTGGCACAAAAATGAATTCTGACAATAGAATCATATCTAGCTTTTTCTTTGTTGTAAAAGCTGAATATGTAAAAGAAGCATAATTATTATTTAAGGTGGCACAGATCAGATTCTGCCCCAAGAAATAAAATTTCAAGGTTCCAGGGATCGATTTCTGCACCGGAGTACACGTAAGATTTTTCTCTGCTCTGCTTTTCCCATTAGGAGTTGTTAGCTTACATTACTACTAATCTATCTCACTGCGTAACTGGCATATAATACTCTTAACTCTTACTCTCTGGCTTTGTAGTACTTCTCTTTCAGGATTTCTCAAACTGTCCTCATAAATTATGTTAAGAAAACAAGCAAAAAGACCAACTAAAGCAGTCCTATAGTTATGGGTAATAATGAAAGGAAAATTGGATAATTTATTTATGATAACTTTTCATTTTCTTTGTTTTTCTTTGATTGGTTTGTTCATTTCCTACAAATTTTACTTAATTAGTCTCAGTAATGTATCACTTGGCTTTTTTTTTTTTTTTGCCAGTCCTGGGCCTTGAACTCTGGACCTGAATGCTGTCCCTGAGCCTCTTTATGCTCACTGTTAGCACTCTACCACTTGAGCCACAGCACCACTTGCAGCTTTTTCCGAGTAGTTTATGGAGATAGGAGTCTCGTAGACTTTTCTGCCTGGGCTGGCTTGGAACCTTGAAGCCTCCTTAGTAGCTAGGATTACAGGCGTGAGCCACCAGTGCCCAGATAATGTCACTTTTTACATTTTAACATGCTGTATTTTCTTTTTTGTTTTAAACCTGAGCTGTCTTTCTGGTTCATTTTTTTTAAGTTCCGTAGATTAAAATTATGATTTGGAAGATCTTTTTTTCTGAGATCCTTAGCCCCACGTTTTCTGCAGGTGGGACAGGATAATGTATGGGATGGCTACCTCATGAGGCAGAACATTTTGGCATATAATAGAGACATTCAGCAGGAATGAGGCTGTAGCTCAGTGGCAGAGTGCTCACCTAGCATGCAGAAGGCCTGGGCTTCATTCCCAATATTGAAAAAGACAGTACAGAATGTAGTTCTTAAGCAACAGAAGAAACCACACTGGCAGACAGTGACTTTCTCTTACTCTAATTTTATTATTTGCTTCTGGCAACTGGTAATTTGCCTCAGATTGTAATCGCAAAATAAAAATTTCTATTTAAAATTTCAAGAGAAATTAATACCCAGTTTATTTTAGTGAATTTTTAAATTACCTTTTGTGTGTATGTGTGTGTGTGTGTGTGTGTCTGTGTGTCTGTCTGTCTGTGTGTCTGTGGTATAGGCACCTGGACTTGAACTCAAGACTTCAGGCTCTCACCTGGTCTTTTCACTGATGCCTGGCACTCTACAATCTGAACCACTCTCCAGGCCCACTTTTTTGTTAGTTAATTGGAGATAGGGTTTCTTGGACTTTTCTACCCAAGCTTGTTTATGAGATCCTCATGTGTCAGCCTCCTGAGTAGCTAGGATTAGAGAAGTGAGCCACAGATGCCTAAATTTTTGTATTATTTTCTTGAAGAGTCTGGTGCTTCATCAAAGAAGTAAACCACACAGTTTGAGAAACAGTCCTATGAAAACCCATAGCAAAAATGCTAATTTACCTTAAATTTAACCTTTTAATAATGAGCTATGCCTCCCTCACATCCCTATGCCTTAAAGTTTAGTTCTAACATTGCCTAGCATTGTGTACTTAACTCTTACGCAGTAAGATTTTATGTAAGCATGAGGCAGAATATTACTAATGAAATAGCTACTTATACATACTTCATATTGCTTATATCTGTTATTTTTTAAAATGTAAAGTTAAGATTCTGTGTCATTACACTCCTAGGAACAGTTTATCCTCTAAGAGTACTTTTATTCCTAATCTTATGATTACTTTCAGGTGATATTTTCAGGTGTGATTACTTTCAGAGTGTTATTTTCTTAAGTAACCTCAGTGCTTCAACATTGTTATCGTTTTTATTTTTCACAGGGGTTTACTTGTTAAAAATCCAACAATAACCAGGTGTCAGTGGCTTTCACCTGTAGTTTTAGGTGCTCAGGAGGCTGAGATCTGAGGATCACAGTTCAAAGCCAGCTTGAGCAGGAATGTCCATGAGACTCTTATCTCCAATTAACTACCAAAAATAAGCCAGAAGTGGAGGTGTAGCTCAAGTGGTAGAGTGCTAGTCTTGAGCCAAAAAGCTCAGGAACAGCGCCCAGGCCCTGAGTTCAAACTCAAGGACTGGAACCAAGAAAAACAACAACAAATTGCTAAATATTGGCTGGATATAAATGTTGACCTATCCTAAGACCACTGTTCCCTGCTTGGGGAAAACCTGTAGTGGGCTTCTCAGCTGGTGTCAGACTGATTGGTAAAATGAAAATTACTCATATTTGTATTTAAGGGTTTTGGTGTTTTGTTTTTGTTTTTTAAGAAAAGGTTAAGGCTGCCTAAATCTTTAAAAAGGAAGAAAGAATTACCAAATTATTTAGTAGTATTAAGGTAGTTATGATCATCTTATAATCATTTTCTCTGCAAATGAAAATAGATGTTACCACCAGGGGTATTTAATTTATACTGTCAAAAGAACTAGTCAGTTTGAAAATAACACATCCTATTCTGGTCTATGGAGGCTTGCTGTGTAAATAAATACACATTCGAGAATGTGCCGTAATGCCTGGCTCATACTGAGAGTTTAGTTAGCTTTTTCCTAACTCCAGTCTTCTGGTCCTGCCTACTGAATAGCTGGAGCCAAGTACTTGTTTAACATTGATTTTTTTAGCAGTATCTTTACTACTTAATATTGATAGACTTAGCTCCATGGGCTAGGGGTGCACAAGACCCTGGGTTCACCTCTAGTACCCAAAACCAAAATGATTGCTTTCATTTGCATGTTTTTTTTAAAGGAGTTAGATTTATCCTTTATCTTTCTACATAATATATTTTTAAGTTATCATTGAGAATCATATAAGGGACTTTTTTTTGTTTTATCATATTCCATCTTAGAATTGAAAGGTGTTTCAGGTCTTTTTTAATTTTTTCATTTACTTTTATGAGTTTTTATTATTGATATATATAATGAGTGCCTGTGGAGTATTTTAGAATCCAGCCTTCTATTTATTCCATCTCTGTAGTTGTTGACTGTGAGTCTGTGATTAGTTTTTATTAGATGACCATCATATTTCCTATGTACAGACATAATACTTGTACTCCTAGAATTTAAAATAATTCCTTATTGATTGATTTTAGCAAAATGATCTCCCAATGAAAGTAATTCTTCTTTCCTTTTGTATTTTTTATTTTCAAGACAGGGTCTTCCTATGTAGCTCAGCCTGACCTGAAACTTAACTACTGCCTCAGCCTTCTGAGTGCTGAGATTTCAGACATGCTTTACCATACCTGAGCCCTTTTATTCTTTAATAAGCAAAAATTCATCACACTTTACTCTAGATTCCTATTCAGTTCATTGATATTGTAGCTTTAAGATTATAATTCTAAATATTAATTATTCTAGCCTTTAATGCAATCATATGTATCTATTTCATCGTTTCATATAGAATGATACACAAAGTGTCCTAAGCCTCAAAATTCAAAGTAACACTTGCCTAAGACATCCAGATGTGCTGGCATCTTCATCAAGAAGAATGTAAGATGGACTGTTTACATCACCACAGACCAGATCATTCTAAATCCCACCTCTAGTGACACTGTCCCTTTGACACCTGCCTAGTTGCCCATACAGCAGGAGCTTCAGGATTTCCATGTGTTAGCCATAAAGCCTTCTGAGCGCAAGACTAGAAGACAGATTCTGGGCCTCGGACCTGCTAACGGGTTTTATAGTATGTCCAATTCAGGTTTTGTAAAGTCACTTGAATCAATTAACACATTTTATTTAGATTCCAGAAATTTTCCTGTCTCTAGATAGACATTTAGCGTTACTAGCCATGAGACTGAAAATTTCAGTGTATTTTGTCACCACGAGACCTAATTTCTGTGATGAATCAGCCATAATAGAGTAATGGCTGAAACCATTAACATTTTGTTTAGCTCTTTCTCTCTCTTCCAGAGTCTTTGAAGAACATTGCTTTCATGTTTATTATACCTGTCTCTTTAGATCTTCAGGATACTGGAAATTATTGACAAAACTATGGATATTTGGTTTCTTAATTTTCTGGGAATTGGAATATTAGATGCTAGTAACTATCCTTTCAAAAATTATCCCATTTATTTTGTGGGTTCCAAATAAATATATGTTCAGTTAGATAAGGTTACACTGTCAAAATAAGGCTTTCCATTTTTCAGTTTGCTATCTGCTGTTTTTTTTGTTGTTGTTATTGTTGAACATTCTTGGGTCCTAAACTCAGTGCCTAGGCGCTGTCATTAACCTTTTCTGCTCAAGGCTAGTACTCTACCACTTTGAGCTACAGCCCCATTTCTGGTTTTCTTGAAGTTGATTGGAAATAAGAGTTTCATGGACTTTTCCTGCAGAGCCTGGCTTCAAACTGCAATCCTCAGATCTCAGCCTCCTAAGTAGCTAGGATTACAGGCATGAACCATCGGTGCCCTGTGTTGTTTGTTTGTTTTAAATGTAATAATATAAATAGGATTGCATTTATTCCAGTGTGTTTTGCCCATTGAGAATGTTGGGCCCTCATCCCAATGTCATGGAACAAACAAAAGCCAAATCCTTGTATGAGTTATGCTCATATAATCATGCTCTCATATAATCATGCTCCAATATCAACTAGCTCTCTCAAAGTACTCACCTATACCTTAAAGAGTTCCCATTAGAATTGAACAAATTGTTTCATTCAAGTGTAGATGGCTGCCAGGAAGCAAGTGGAATGCTTTTCTTAGTTTTGTGCCCTTCTCTTCAAATCCTCATCATAAATTCCTCATACTTGTTTGGTTGTATTTGTGAAGTAGTTGAAGTGTTGAAGTGACACTTCGTGAGATCAACTTAGACACTTGTGTGTAGGCTTTGACACCTAGGTGCTCTCTCTCCCACTCCACAGTTGGTTTGGTTTACAAGATCAGCTATATACTGCACAAAATAAAGAATGCTGTCCTCTCTCCCCGCGAAGCTAAAGACTGAACCCATTCATTGCTCTAGTGTTCTTTCCTTCTGAAGTTGTTTTTCATATTCAGTTTGTTTATTTTGATGTTTGGGGTTACAGAGTTCCAATGCTACATTGTAGCTGTTGTTTTTGAACAAATCAAAATGTCTGTTAACCTATTTGTTTGTTGTTTTCTTGGGGCAAGGGGGATGATGGGGAAAACAGATCCCAAAAAACTCCCTAAGATTAAAAACTGCTCAGGTAAAGTTGTATAAAAATCTGACTTGAGTATTTTTCTCTTCATTTGCTGTGCTTTGTGTAAACAGTGTGACACCATCGCCACCCCAGGCTCGGGTCTGTCCTCCCCATATGTTACCTGAAGATGGAGCTAATCTTTCTTCTGCTCGTGGCATTTTGTCGCTTATCCAGTCTTCTACTCGTAGGGCTTACCAGCAGATCTTGGATGTGCTGGATGAAAATCGCAGGTGATTGGCCATCAGTGACTCTTGCCAGCTTTGTTACATTCCTTTTGGCTCCTTATTTAGTGGAGTGTGGTGTCTTTCTTTTATGTTTGCACCTCCTAGTCTCTTTCTAAGATGCAATGGTTTGAAACAGCTTGCTTTGCTTTCTTTTAATTTGAAATTATTGTCCAAAATTCACATTTCATGGGAGTCTGTTAGCTTTCCATTAGTCAGGAAATGTAATGGTTTTTTCAAAGACTTTGTTGACCTATTCTAAGTACTTGAGTCTGTCCAGGGATGTGCTGTTGGACTGAGTATGGGATGTTGGAGTTTAGTTTGATAGGATTGAATTAATAAGGTAGGCGTGAGAGGTGTCATGGTAGCTGCCAGTACATTTTTCCTTTTCTCTTGGCTACAGATTTCTTGGCCTATCCTAAAAGCCCAGATGCTATTATCTTTTTGATAATGCTGGTATTTTTTCAACATAAAAGCATTTGTTCATTCAAACTTTTTTGCACTCATTTAAAACTTTCAACTCTGAACATTAGTGATTTCTGAGAATCTGTTTTAAGTTTGCATTATCATTTTATGAGACTGCTAATTTTTGCAAGAATGTCCAATAAATTCAGCCAACCTTTCCAATGAACCTTATTTCTACTTAGAGCTGAAATGTTTTCTGGTTAACTTTGAACACTTGCTGAGTGCTTTTAATCTTGATACCAACCTAGCCTCTTTTTTGTACTGCTTATCCTTGATCACTCCTGGCCTGTGCTAATCATTCCAGAGTTTATAGGTGGTATGCGTTTGGAACAAAGACCCAAGGACTAGAGCCGCACTAACAACAGTTTATAGAAAAAGCACATGGCACAGAGGGGATTACATACACTGTACTTGTATATATGGGACTGTGCGTACACACATATTCACACACACATACTGTTGTGGGTTTTTTTTTTTTCATTTCCCCAAAGGGTTCAGAGGCCTTTTATAGTCTTAGAGCTTGAAAGAATATTTTGGAATATTTGGAAACTAAAAAACATCAACATCCAGAAGAGAAAATACAGGCTTGGAGCCAATCCACTCATTTTTTATTCATCCCACTAAAGAGCTGCCTAATGGCCTTGAGAAAAGTGCTTAGTTCCTTTGGGTCCCCTTTCTCATGTTAAAATAGGTAGGGAGGGGATAATCGTTTTCTGAATCCTTGGGAGCTATCTTCTCCCTTTCTTACTTAACATAAAACATGAATAGGGAGCTAGGAAGGTGGCTCAGTGGTAGAGTGCTTGCCTTGCATGCCTGAGGCCCTGGGTTCGATTCCTCAGCACCACATAAGCAAAAAGAAAAAAGCCAGAAGTGGCGCTGTGGCTCAAGTGGTAGAGCGCTGGCCTTGAGCTGAAGAGCTGAGGGACAGCGCCCAGGCCCAGAGTTCAGGCCCCACAACCGGACCCCCAAAAAAAAAATAAATAAATAAAAAACATGAATAGTCTCAAATTATTTAGTAGATCCTTCAAAATAATGAAAAAAAGTCTTAAAATTCCTACTCATAAAGGCCTGTTTTCACCTCCCTCTTTTAAACATATTTCTTCTCTACTTGATATCTTCTTTAACTTTTCCATTTCAATAGGTTTTTGGAGGAGGCCAGATTTATTACTTCAGAGTATATCATATCAGATACTATTGCAAGGAAAATACCTGAATAAAAATTTCCAAATCCTGTGTAGATTTAAATGATAGCTAGATAACAAATTCTGGTGCATTAAGGTTGCTTGTATCACATCCCACCAGCACATACTCAGTTCAAATATGATGATACAGTAATTGTAAAGATAGGCTTTTTTCTATATGATGAGGAAAAAAAAAAACATTGCCTAAAGTTCAAATATACAAAATCAGAAAATTACCACTGTAAACTTTACTCTATATTCTCTTAATAAGAAAAAAAAAAAACCTTTAAAAATTCCCTTCTAGAGCCCAGTGGTCATGGACCATGCCTGTAATCCCACCTATTCCCAAGAGGCATAGACAGGAGAGGCAAGGCATAGGTAGGGGAGGTGCAGCTCAAGTTGCAGGAATGTTTGCCTAGCAAGAGCAAGTCTCTTGAGTTCAAACCCTAGTATGATTGATTGAATAATTGATAGGTAGTTAAGGGAAAGAAAGAAAACAAGGAAGGAAGGAAGAACACCCTTTTCTGGGAAGAAATTATATTACTCTTTTAAATAAGATTTTTGAATTGAGAAGAATTATATGTTGCTTGTGGTTGTATTCCATGGGTTGTTACCCTGGAGCCTGGAGTCTTAGTTTTTCACTTCTGAAAACATTTTTAAAACGTGGCATATTCAAAGGGTGGTACTGAGGCTCAAATGGTAGCGCATCTGCCTACTAGGCTTGAGACCCTGAGTTCAATCTCTAGCATATCAAAGTCAATCAAAAGTTGGTATATTCAGATCTTGCATGGATTAAGTATTGAGCAAGATTTGATGAGAGTTTCAAATGTCATGTCAGTTTCCCCTAGGAAACTGGAACATCTAGTATGACTTTTCAGATGGAAGAAATAGGAATGTGAAATTTGGATAATGTTCTACTTGCATGACTGTGATACTGCTTATGAAGTTTTAAGTGCTTTTATGTTCCTTGCTCTCTGCATCTTTTTTTTTTTCCTTTTCTATATTATGACTCGGCTAAATTATGCTACTGCAATATCTTTGGTCTTATGCCATCACATTGAGTATAGTTAATTTAAGCTAGAGCTGTTTGTCAAGAAAAAGAGGTTTTCTGCTTGTTATTATAAAATAATACAGATTCATAGCTGCTCAACATAACTATTTTTCAGGTTATTTTTGTTTGTGTTTATTAAATGTACCAAGAGGTTTCAATTCAACATGTCAGTTTATGAGTACAACACACCTTACATTTCACCCCTCCATCACTGTAAGAGATTTCTGGATTGTGTTTTCTTTTACTCATGATGAGCGTGGTTTAGATGGTCTAAACCAAATCTAGCACAAAATACAGTTAAATCATAGGGTATGCCTTAGCAAAGTTCACAGACATAGGTCGATGCTGTACATGTAGAAGACTGATCTGTTGAAAACTGTCCTGAACAAGGACTGAGTTTGTCCTTTGCTGGAGAGAGTTGCCCACCTCTTCCGATACACCTATTAGAGCTGTATCTTATCCTCCAATGTAAATGAGTAACATTTTTAAAAAGAAACTTAGCTTATGTGTAAGAATATCATTTAAATATTGATGGATGAATTGTGCCTAAGTTTCATTTTTAGGAGGGTATTGATTTTTTTATAGTTTTTCTTTTATCAAGTTGTATTGATTACTTTTTATAGTTTTTCCTTAGCAAGTTGTATTGATTATTATATATAGTTTTTCCTTAGCAAGTGGTATTAACTTTGAATTAATAGAATAAGAAACCAATGTATGAATGATTTCCGTTTTTGTAAAGTATCTCTAGAAATATATATCTTGTGAAAAGTAGAAATTTGAAGGTATAGTTGATGGAGCATCTACTTGTCATTTTTTTATAAATGTATGTATAATTCCAGCTCCCCCAATTAAACTGTTTGCTTTTAGCAGTTTATATTTTTGTAGCAAAGAAATGCCACTTAGTCAAGCCATACATGACTCAGAAATGTCAGTATACATTTTAATGCTAAAACCTGGGTGGCCTTAGATTTCCTTCCCTGTTGCCACTATAATGATAAAACATTTACATTGAACAATTTATGTACTAAGTCATACTGATGGTAGAAAGTGGTACTTGAATGAAGTTTCTAACTGCCAAATACCTGTCTAATTTACTTTTATATTATATGTGTCAATTGCCAGTGTGAGAAGACAAAATGAAATACGTTGTGAAAGGTAACCCTATTATTTTCTGGCTCTGCATTATAAAAGGGAAATCTCTGTGGTGGAATATGTTGAATACAGCAGATCCATTTGGCCATATTAGCATGCATTAAAAAATAAACCTTAGGAAGCACTTCATTTAATTAGCCATTCTCATGCTTGTATAATTTAGGATTGCAGGTTATTAATAGTTTTCCTGATTTCACAGAATACGTATTTTAGTAAGATGAGATGAATTAAAAACTGTCTCAAACACATGTGATTTCTCAGTGTTCTGTAGTGAACAACAACAACAAAAAAACCTATAAACATGTCTCCTCCAGAAATCTCCGATTCCTTCTCCTCTAAGCTCCAGAAGTATTCATTAAATACTGGTAGCAACTTTAGAACATGTAGAAGCTAAATGTTAAAAAGTTTCTCAAATGAATTGAGTTGTCAGAAAATAGTGATTTCTGTTCTGTCACTGTGCCACTTTAAAAAACATTGTATATTTGATACTAAACCTCTATAATTGTTGCCTTGATACTTATATTCAGGCAAAGCACTATCATTCAGAGAATGAGACATGCAAAATAGGATTTACTGATTTGTTTAGAATCCTTACACGGATTCCACACCCTCAGGCTCCTTCCTCTGGTTAGCAAATATTATTGATTATTTTAGGGTCAGTTAATCAGTGGACATGCAGTGCTTTTATTTTCTGATAATAAGAATACAACTAAAGTATGTGCTGAGACTGAGTGAAAAGCCCCACAAAGTTTTCCGGTTCACCTTGGTCCTCATTTCCAGCAGCCCTGTATGTCACTCCTGGTTGTCTCACGATTAGATTCTACACATGGATCACCTGCTCTAATGTGGCCCCAGCTCCAAAGCTGACGAGTGTCTTAGTCTGGAGAGCCTAGGGTTCGAGAGCCGAGAAGCAGCCACATTAAGGCATCAGGCCCAAGTGAGAGCCATGGGCTGGGAGGAGGGGACCCTGGGCAATGGGCCTGGCTTTCAGTTCTGTTTTTGCCTTGAACTAGTGATGTTAGTGAGCAACCACGATCATGCAGGCGCTCCTCACAGGTTCTTGTATGCTTTTTAGAGTTGTCATGATTTTTTTTCCAACTGGAAGAAAGGAGTTAGACTTTGTCCTCTGTCTTAAATCTCATAAAATGTGACCTCCAGAAAGAATGATCAGTTAGTGCTTTTTTTGTCACGTTTCCTGTTTCTTTAATTAAAGGTAAAGTGTTAATTTATGAAATTCTTAAAAGTGGAGGACATGTGAGACAAACACTTTCAAAGTATTTGAGAGATATTATATTGTATTGAAGCATACAATATAATCGTATTTGACATTTATTTGTCTTGTTTTTGCTTTTTATTTTATTACCTCTCTGTTTCCTGATACTGTCTTGTGCCTTCTCCCGCAAAATCCCGCCTTAGACCTGTGTTGCGTGGTGGGTCTGCTGCCGCCACTTCTAATCCTCATCATGACAACACCAGGTAACTTTTGAGACTTTGTAATTATCAAGGGAAACAAGAAGTTGGTGGAAGTGGTATTTTGTACTTTGTAATTATCAAGGGAAACAAGAAGTTGGTGGAAGTGGTATTTTGCAAAACATAATGCATGTAGTAGCCATGACCTAAAGTTACAGCATGAACATCTACAGTTTGCCCTAAGGAGTAATCCTTCTCTGTTAGGGCAGGAAGTCTGTCCATCATGGTATTTAGCCACACAAGTATGAGGAAAATGTTTAGTAATTATGGGATAGCCTGGTGTGAATACAATTGTAATAGCTTATGGGAGATGATGCAAAAACACAGACAAAATCATCTTAATTTGGGTTTTATGCTCATTCCTGTAATTCTTGCCTGGGTTCTGTCCAGCACTTGCTGTTTGGCTGAAATTATCTAAATGTCACTTGCAGTATATGGACTGTCTTCTCCATAAGACATCATCTTACCTCAAAGTGAGGGAAACCACACAGGCAGCCCACCAGTGCAGAAAACTGAACATAGAAAGGCGATCTTGTTTGAAATAGTTTTAGTCATCTGTTGTGGCTTCACCTTTCACATATTAAGACATGCTTAGCTTGGGCAAATTATTTCTTCCTATTGGCAGATAGAATGGCTTGTACCAGTATTTAAGGATCTCAGAGGCTAAAATGCCGATGTAGTTTGTGGTTACTGAAAGTATTTTGTTGTTGTTGTTGGAGTCTCCCACAGTTGACTAGACAGGCCTTGGATCATGATCCTCCTCTCTATGTCTCCACTGTAGCTGGGATTATAGGTAAGGACCTGTAATCCATGGCTTGTTTGATGAGATAGGATTTCACTAACTTTTTGCTGACATTGAACATATTTCTCCTAATGTCTGCTTTCTGTGGTGGCATGAGTCATAGTCCCCAGACCTTTTGTAGAGTTTTCTATTCTGATAAACTAGAGTTTTAGTTTAAAATAATTTTAAAGTAAATTTTTATTTTCAATTGAATTAGGTATGTAAAGTCTTGTATATCTTGAGACTTTTTGCAAAGGAAGATACCTTTTACAGATTTCTAAAACCTTAGTTAATTCAGGATTTAAATTGTGATTTCTTTTATTGTACTTCATTTTCTGTACTGAGGCCAGGTGCTTTACCTAGAGACAGTTGCTGCTATGGCTTGGTTCTACCCCTTTTTTGTCTCCTCACATTCTTCTAATATGAGGCCTCACCTCAGGAAAATACCAAAGTCTTATTTTAAGAACAAAGGAATTAGGGAATTAGGAATCTTTAACCTTTATTTTCTTCCTAATAATTGTTCTGTGTTTCCTGTTTTGGTTGTTTTCTGTTTTGTTGGGAATGAAATCAGGGTCTGCCCTAGTAGTTATTTTAATCTACACGCACAGTTACCTTAATAGACACGCTGTCTGCACACTTACTGAGTCCTTTCCTTCTCTAGCTGATGTCATTGTCCTTGGTATTCCAGCAGGTCTACTGTGTCCAGGAAGAAGGGGCAGTTCACATAAAATCCATAAGAGGGACATTCAGATTGTTAGCCCACAGCCTTTCTTAATCTCATTTTGCATAAAGTGGTTTTTTTTTATTATTTTTAGCAGTATTTGAAACAATAGGATTTTCTAAAGACTTAACTTTGAACATGCCCAGATGAAGTAAGTACTTCTAGCTCACATCCCTTTTGTCTGGTAAATGGAGTTGTAATGGAGACTTGTCCCAGTGTTGGAATCCATGCTCCACTGCCCTGGGGATTACTTCAGCTTATTTGTTTTCTGCTCATTCAGGAAAGTAACTGTGACATCTCTCCAAAATAAACATACAGTAACTATACGTGTAAGTGAGCCATGTGATACATAAATTGCATCCCACTAAAGCTCTTAAATTTTAAAATACGGAAGTTCAGGTGAAGGGAAGAATGGCATTTGTGCATATTTGTTTTTCACAGTTTATTGTTACTCATTTAAACTTAAAAGTGACTACATTTGGACAAAGTATGGTTAATATATGCTTTACTGATTATGGTGGTGACTTTCCAGTTTGGTTAATTGATATACATCCTCTAGGCTATTATTGAGCGAATTCTATATCTGAATGAAGTGGTTAAATGTATTGAGATTTCCTACTTGCTTCTGTAGAAGAAAACAGTAGAGAGTAAGAAGTGGAAATCAGAACTTGAGAGTAGGAAGGGCAAGAAGAGGCAATGCGGTGTGAGGGCACATGAACTAGCAGTCTTCTTTGTGGTTCATTTTGTATCCCTTCCTAGGAGCCTGCCTGTGGGACTATGTTTACACATACAACCCATATGGAATTATTGTGTGAGAATAATTCTTCTGTATTGCCCTATCGTGGCTACTCTCAGCCTTCCACCACCGGTCCTTTTGTAACTTTGTTGGTGTCTGGCTTGGACAGTGTCTATTTGTATCTTTAGTTCCTAAAGCTTCACCACATCTTCCCAGTATTGTAGGTAGTTACCATCTTAGCTTTCCTTTCCTTTGGTAATTTCATCACACGGCAAAATACTTTAGTAGCTTGTCTTGCTAGTAGCAGTCCGAATATCCTTTTGTTTTGTTTTGTTTTGGTTGGTCATAGGGCTTGAACCTGGCCTGGGCGCTGTCTCTAATTTCTTCAGCTCAAAGCAAATGCTCTACCACTTGAGCCACAGTGCCACTTACCCAGTCTGAATATTCTTTGTGCAAACAAAATGCGTTATATGACTGACATTACAGTTACTCTTAGTTCTGTTTTAATCATGCTAATGTTTCTTACCTTCTAGGTATGCCATTTCAAATATAGATGCCACAATCGAAGGGACATCAGATGACATGACTGTTGTGGATGCAGCTTCATTAAGACGACAGGTATTTGATATACCAGATAAGATGTAATCCAGATAAGATGTGTAATAATTTAATGCAGTAGTTCATAACATTTTATTTTCTGTCAAACCAATGGATTGAAATAGTTTATTTGTCAAGCTATTGAATTAGCCATTGTTGTTTTTTCCAATCTAATTTAAACCTCTGTTTACCTAAAATGAATTGAGAGAATTCTAGCAAAGAATCTTGACATGTTAGCAAACCATGGCTGGTTTGGCTGGGGAACTGTCACTTTAGGAACTTTGCTACTCTCTTTGATGCCTCCATTTGGAAGTCCCTGTTTTAAATTTGCATAGTTGTCTCTCCATGTAGATTTCATGCATTCTGTGGTTAGTCTTTTTTTGATATTACAATTTCATAAACATATTTTTTAACAGCAAGAAATATAAAGGATTTGCAAGCTTCCTTCTAGAGTCACACAGACGTACGCACACAAGGAAAGCATGTTTAGTGTTGTCATTGTGTAAGTCAAATACTTGAAGAGGGAAATGGGATGAAATAAAGTTGTTGTTTTTGTTTTTTTGAGCGGCGATCAGTGAGGGATGTGACATTAAACCCAGCAGCTGCTCTGCCCAGGGCTGCCCATGGGAGGACCGTCAGCTGAGGGTGTGCTGTCACCCAGCAACATTGAAGGGTCTGGGTGGTGTATGACAGGGGCCACACAGTAGATTCATTGCTGGGCCAACTCAGCAACTCTCAGAGGTGGACAGAGAAGGTAAATAGCCACAAGGAAATGTGAGCATCTGATGCTGGGAGACCAGAAGCTCATGGAGGAGGAATCCCATATTCTTTCTTTAGGCAAGGCTGCCTAAATGTCTACTGCACCTTTTATATCAGAACAGCCTATGGTGGGCACCAGTGTCCTTCCCTCACAACCAATCACTCAGAAATTCTGAGAAAGGGAGTGGACAAGAGTAGTTAAGTGAACTTACCTGTCGGATGAGTAATTTTTTTTTGGGGGGGGGGGGTAGGGGGTCTGGTCCTGGGGCCTGAACTCTGGGCCTGGGCGCTGTCCCTCAGCTCTTCAGCTCAAGGCTAGCGCTCTACCACTTGAGCCACAGCGCCACTTCCGGCTTTTTTCTTTTTTTGCTTATGTGGTGCTGAGGAATCGAACCCAGGGCCTCATGCATGCAAGGCAAGCGCTGTACCACTGAGCCACCTTCCCAGCCCAGATGAGTAACTTTTTTTCTGTTGATCGTTGTGTTTATTTTGCTCCTAGTGAAACCATGCTTGTAGTTACTCTTTTGACAGATTTTTATGCCACTTTTTTAAGAGTTCAGTTGCCACATGCATTAAAGCTTCTCTTTTGCATTTTGTGTTTTGCACTTAGATAATCAAACTAAATAGACGCCTACAACTTCTAGAAGAGGAGAACAAAGAGCGTGCAAAAAGAGAGATGGTTATGTATTCAATTACTGTAGCATTCTGGCTGCTTAATAGCTGGCTCTGGTTTCGCCGCTAGAGGTAACTGCAGCATTCAAATATATTGTTTCAACAGCTGGAAATATAAAAGGATTTGCAAACTTCCTTGTTTCTGTCTTTGCATTGTATGCCGTTTTATAGTCCATGCCCTGAAAATGTATTTCTCCCAGAAAATAGGGGGGAAGAACCTATAATTTGTAGAAGTAAAGGTGTATTCTGTTACTCAACTGTATTCACTTTAGACCAGTTCTGCAGAGACACCGGCGTGACATTCTCCTTTTGCATGTTTTGTAAATAGGCTCTAGTTTGTTTTCTTTTTAAAAAAAAAAAAGAAATTGATTTTTTTGCTTCATCATTCTATACAACTCATCCTGTGAGAGGCAGAGAGAGTGCGTACAGAATGGACTTAGAAAACTCTGTGAAAGCAAAACAATGACTGTCCTCTTCCTTAGATACTATTGAGCAGTAGTCTTGTTAACAGACATGGTTGCATCGACATTTCAGCATTAACATGCTACAAGTCATGGTCTAGTTCCTGTCTTAACAAAAATGACCCACTACTACATGATCACCTGTACATATTAAAATAATTCCTAATAATTCAGCAGTTTATCTGTGCAGTATGTGTTCTTATTTTCATTTTAGTTTTGCAGATAATTTTCTATAAAGTACGTTTTTACCAAGTCCATGTGTGAACAATAAAAAGTACAGAATAAGGTACAAATGTAGTGTATTTAATAAACTGTCAACCAAAGCCATGTTTGTGTGCGGAAAGATTTATTTCATAGGCTAAGAGCTTCCTGGCATGTTACTTTCTCTGCATCTGCCTCTCAGGCAGGGAGTGCACCAGATGACCTGGGAACCACAAGAGCCACTAGCTCCTTTCACATCTGGATCCTGGAAGGAATGGGCACTGGCTGCATTGTAAGTGGTTTTTAAATGACTATTTCCAGAAAGGGGTCACAGTGACAACCCTTGAGTTGTGTTTCACCTTTTCCACTGTGGTATTAACCTGCTTGTATAGGATGTCATGAGAAATACCAATGAAACCAAGCCCTAGGTGTCTTTAGCTCTTAAAAATTAATATGTTTCTGTTGACATTGTAAAAAAACAGAATTCACTTAGGTGCCATACTTTCTATATATCTTCAGTTACCTTTCTGCCAAGGCCGTTGTGGAAAAAAAATTAAGGAAATTCTTTAGATAGGTCTCAAACTAATGTATGTAGCACATTAACACTGTCACTACAAACCGTATCTTATTCCAAGCTCTTTATCTTGAGTGCTGTGGCTGCTTGTTTCATTGTTTCGTAATGAAGTTTTTCCAACTTCCACTATAGAGACATGGTGCCTTTCCGTAACTTTAAAACTATTACTTTATTCCTTAAGCTCATCACATGCACTTTTTGGCTTGGGTGGATTTCCAGAACTTTACCTTGCTAGCAGGGGCTCTGGCACTTCTAGGTGGCATGTTTTTACAAATTTAGAACAAAGAAACATCACAGTGATTTAAACACATCTGTCAGTTATATGGGAGATTCCTGAGCTTCTGCAGGTCAGCCAAGCTGCACGGTGTGGGGTGAGTATTTAAACTTTGGGTTTTGAAATGTCCATGGTTATTTAATTTTAAGTCAGAACTGTGTGGTGTTACAAAGTCCATGGTACAGCGGGCTCACTTTACAGGTAACTTCATGTTTCTGTTTTTGCTTCTGTCTTGTCCCTCCAAAAAGAAATATTTGAAGGAAGATTCTTTTTTGTACTTAGGATGACCAAAAATTTAGTAACAATGACTTTTTTCTTTTGCCCATGACAGTCTTTTAACTTTCACTAATACCTTAATGGTGCAGTTGCTATATTTGTTCTAGCTTAATGTGCACCACAAGGCGATTTCTGGGAATAACCCTCACAGTTGTGACTACAGAGATGGTCAGAAGGATGGATAAAATACACTACCACTTTTGCTCAGCAGGTGTGGAAGTGATCCACCAAAGCCAACGTGAAATAAAAGCAAGAATCCTGGGAGATTGGTGCAAAAGTCATTTTTCCTCGATGATTTTTAACAAAGTTTAGCAAGCTGGAACTTTCTCCCTGACGGGTTGTGTGTAGGAAGATAGAATTCCCTGCCTTGGTCAGGCACTGACTCATGACTGAAGTTGGGACCTCAAAAAGACTGCCCCCCCTTACTCAGTGCCAGAGTGCCAGAGGAGTCTGCTTCTCATGGAGAGCACACAGCTTGCTGTTCCTGACCTTGTCAAGGGCCTTGAACGAATCTCTACCCCACTCTTTAAATCCGGTCATTTATTTACCCCCCAAAAGTTGTTCATCTCTGCTTTTAAAAGTGTTTAGGTACTAACATCTGGTTATGGTCAGTATAATCAGGAAGTAGTTCTTAGCTAGTTGAGATGAACTTCGGATTTCAACAAATAATGAAAAAGATTCAGTGTGCATGGAGCAGAGGAACAAAAAGATACAGTCAGGGCTGAAATAATGCCCAACTAGGAATAGCAAACTTAATTGTTAACTACTTTCAGGAATGTTTTTCTTCTAGAATACTTGGTAAAGCATTTATAGGTTGTTTATATTTTGAGTGATAGCTTTATCCAAGTAGTACATTTTTTCATGTATGAGGGTTTTTTAGCTTTTTCATTGTATTTGGCATTGAAGTTGAGGTTTTGTTTTTTAGTCTCTATTTTAGGAATATTCATCGTCAACTCCTAACTATGTTTTATCTCAAAAAGTCAAGACTTCTGTGAACACGCACTGACCTAGGAACAAATGGTAATTGTACAAGATGTGCCACAAGCCCCGCTCTTAAGGAACAGACACACTAGGGGCTTATTAAAGAATGAGGTAATTGTAAAAGCAGTTTAGCTGAGGGATGAGGAGACGAGAGAGTTTTAGCTGGTGGGTAGAGTAAAAATAAAAGTACAAAGATTCTGGCATGAGGAATGGTAGAGTGACGTAGGATACTGGGGAGCACCAGCCATGAGCACAACACCTGAGCCTGAGTTCAGGCCCCAGGACCAGAACGCGTGCACATGCGCACACACACACGTACCAGATTCCACACCGAGATTGAGGACAGGAGTAAGAGTAAGAAACACTTGGGTTTTGCGGATGACTGTGTGTGCTGTACTTGGGTGTGGAAGGGGCCTGCTCAAGCCATAAGTTTAGATACCAGATCAGAGGTGATGTGGCTCACCTCCTACCCCAGAAAATAAAGAAAAGAAAAATAATAATAACCACTGATTGTTGGCTTTTGCTATTCATGGAAGTTGTTTCCATAAGACTGAAGAGTGAAGACATAGCCTTCCAGCTCTTATATCTCATGGTGCTTTTATCCCCTGAAATAAAAGATGTATGTCTGTCTCTTCCTGCCTCTGCAGAGTATTGCAGTTACTTCTCTGCTGTCCAGAGTGAGGACAAATTGTAAGCACCATCGCTAACCTTTGGACCATTCAATCGAGTGCAGTGTTCTGTCATCCTTTTACCTCTGTCTTCACTGCATGGCAACTAGCAGTTTAGCGTTTAATAAACACAGCCTTCACTGAAAGCTGGGTACTGAAGATAGACTGAAGCAGCACATCCAACAGAATACTTTGAATGGCATTGTTCTAACTGAACACACCAAGAATGACTTAAACATATCCTCATACCTTGGAGCTTACAAGGTGGTGCAGACGGGGAAATATGGTAAATGCTAGAAAGGAGAGGGAAAGAGAAACTTGCTTGCCATTAGGTGGGTAGGGACAGACTTGGACCAAGTGGTTCTGGTGCTGAAGGATGAAGAGAACCCGGCAGAGATGAGGCAGGTAAGGTGGGGTGGGAGACAGGGCTTCCTAAGGACCCAGAGTGAGAAAGGACCGATAGATAAATGGGTGAGAAAGATCGGGCCTAATCCCTTAAATTCTGTAGTGATGGAAGTACAAAAACACGCTACATGTGAGTTATGAAAGGAGCTTAGGTGAGTGCTGACATGGTTTGCTGGAATCAAATGTAAGCAAGACTTCTCAAGGAGATATTTAAGGGAAGCCTTTGTGATGAAACATTTATAGGAGTGTATAAAGTATCTTCATATAGTCCCAGAGAAAGCTTACAAGTTCTTAGTGTTACTGGTTATTTTTTTTTTGGATTGTTATAGGTATTTAAGTGACTGTGAGAAATTTTAGCTTAATGAACAACAACAAAAAAAAAAAACCCTGAAAAGTAGCAGAAGTAATAGCATTTGTAAAATTGTAGATTTTTAGTTATGTCTGTTTTAACACTTTATTTTTATGTAGTTTCATGAAGGGGTTTTATAACATGCTTTATAGAAAATAAATGTTTTATAACATTTTAATGTGGTAAATACAGTTAATCTTTTAAAGAAAACAGCATTTGAAAGATTGGCAGTACTTAAAAATTATTGTGAAAATATAAGTATGGGAAGGTGAGAGCACTGTTTAATGAATTTTGTGTGCCTGTCACCTAAATCTCTTCCCTTTTCTTGGTGTATATATATATATATATATATATATATACATATATATATGTATATATATATGTATATATATATACATATATATATAAACATGGCATTATAAACCTATCAATTCATGTTTCTTTTAAACAAACACGTAATCATAAAAACATTATGATGCCAGGTGCTGGTGGCTTACTCCTGTAATCCTAACTACTCAGGAGGCTGAGACCTGAGAATTAGGGTTTTAAGCCAGCCTGAGCAGGAAAGGCTGTGAGACGCCTATCTCCAGTTAACCACCCAAAAGCCTGAAATAGAGTTCTGGCTCAAGCATAAAGCAGAAAAAGCCAGAAGTGGTGCTGTGGGTCAAGTGGTAGAGCACTAGCCTTGAGCTGAAGAGCTTAGGGACAGCACCCAGGCCCAGAGTTCAGGCCCCACGACCGACCAAAAAAAATAATTTTAATCATTTAACCCAATTTATGAGCAGGTTTCTCTTAGTCATCCCAATAGGGTTGACACAGTTGAAATACAAAACTGTTGTCTTAATTGCAATTCTAACAACCTATCCTACCTCTTTTATTCCTGTAGTAATTGTCTTACTGAAAATTTGAGAGCTAAACTAAAAGCTTTATTACACTCAGTACATTACACACACACACTTTCTGATCCTGGGCCATGGGCTGAGGGCCTCCCAAGAACTTGCCTGGCACACTACCACTTACCCCATGCCTCCAGCCCTGCTTTTTTGATGGTTATTTTGCAGAAGTCTCAACGTACTTTTCTGCCTGGGCCTTTCCATCTGAATCCTCCAAGTCTCAGCCTCCTGAATAGTTAGGATTACAGGTAGGGGTCAGCTCCTCCCAGCACTACATATTCTTGTTACTTTGACCTCTAAGGTGACATGTGCTATCCCATCCTCCCTCCTCCTGGACCTCTAGACGTCCCCTCTAGGAAGTGAGTAACAGAACAGAAAAATACAAAACTGAAATTTACACTCCCACCTCTTTCCAAAGTCAACCCCTGATGATATTTTCCTTTCCACATGGAGGTTTTGTGCATTTACGTGCTTTCCATGTGGAAGGAAAATAACTCTGAAAGCAACTTCTTACATTCAAACAACTCCAACAGCTTTTGTATGTTCCATTATTGAACTTCAAAAAGGCATGCATTTGAAATGTAATTCTCAAATTATTCAAAATGCTGACACTTCTGTTTTATTACCACTCAACTACACAATATGACTCCTTGGCCTAGAAACACCACCCAGACAGCCAAGGAAACCAATGAGTATCTGACTGAGCCCAAAGAGGACTTCAAGAATTCCAACCACCAGTAGACCTATGAATACTGAGAAGTGGAAGATCCTGTATCTGTCTTCTTCTGAGTTGGAACTCGGGATTCCCCAGTCTTTGGCAATGTCTTCAGCGGTGGGGCTTTTGATACTCACGGGAGCTACGCAAGAACCATTGAAGAACCACTGTAGATTGAAAGATTCTGGATGAAAGTCACTGAAAGAAAAGAGAAAGAGATAGATATTGTGCCCAGAAAAAGTTCATATATAATAAAAATATTCTTTTGACATACTGTATCCAGAAATTATAGCTAAGGTCAGGTTTTCTGAGCACATAGTTTTAAACTCTAATTGCCATAAAACTTATGGTCTACATAGCCCATTATCTGATAGGCATTCTCTAGATAAACTTCTGTAGAACACCTTCCCCCTGGAGGCGAGGTAATGGAATGGCTGTTTTATTGAGTCAAAAAATGGAGTATGGCCAATGTTACATGGATCAACCTATGCTTAACTTGATAAATGCTTCTACTTGCCAAAAACCAGAAACCAAATAAAGGTGCCCCACTCTCTCAAGACATGCTTCTTCCTGCAGAGCTGCTATGTTACATCTTCTCTTAATCTAGATGGATGGTTGTACTCATAAGACATTCCAGGTAAGTCTGATTAGAATGACTGACGTTTGTTCTAAGAAGGCTATGGTAAATGCGATGCTCTCAGCCCAACATATCTATCTCAAGATGATTATTTGTCCCCTCCATCAGTTTATTATCATAAAGTAAGATGGAATATTTCTTAGGAAGTTTGCCTTGCTGGATTTCAACAGCTGACTTTGGACGTGAGAGAGCAACAGTATTTGCAGCGTGCAGAATCTGAGGCTGTTCTATGGAGTTGTTCGTAAGCACAGGGTCACTCGATAGCCATTCCCTAGCTTTGCCCACCTAGCCTGGCAATGGCTGAGGGTTATAGCCTGCCTGGTACCATCCCCATAGGATTCAAGGTGGACAGCATCTGTGGCTGCCATCTCTTACTTTTCCTCTTCGGATCTGTTGGAAAGAATTTCATTGGTTCTATTTGATTCACAGTAATTGTGCTATACAAATTTTGTGTGGATTTTTTTCTTAAAGGTACAAGATCAAAAGAGAAAATACTTTGTATGTAACTATAAATGTCTAAATTCACTATCCTATACAGGTAGCTCATAAATTTGATTGTCTTCGAGTTTTTGCAAATTATGCCTGGATTTAGGCATGGTAACACCTTTAAGTGAGCCATTTATATGTAATTGCCAATATTAAGTCTTACTGTACATCTTAATTTCTTATCCCATTTGTGGCATTGAGTCCTTGGTTGGATATCTGATTTCTTTTAGGACCTGCAGGAAAAGGCTCTACATTTTATTTTGCTGTGTTTTTATTGATTTTTTTCATTGTAAAGTTAATGTGACTTATGGTTTACAAATTTAAGTAGCTCAGAAATGTAAAACATAATGTTCCTTTCACTCACTCCTCTAGGTCATTCCCCATTACCACTCTCCAAGCATTAAGGTTTAAGGTATATAATTCCAGAATTTTTTTTCTACATGTACACACCACATTACCAAGGATTTAAAAAAGACAGCTCTATGCTATCTGAGATCAAGCAGATAAGATCATTCCTACAGCATTCTGAATGCAGCAATTCCTTTGTTTCCTCACGACACTGCCTGCTGAGATAACATACTGAATTGATAAGAATGTCCATCCAGTAATTGCCTCAAAGAAAAATGCACATTGTTTGTGCATCAGTGTTATGGTCAGTGTTACTGTGGTAAAAGGTGGGTTAAGTGGACTATTACCTTAAGTTTTTCAGTGAAAACTGACAAGTAGCTGTATGGTTGCCTTGGGAGTTACAAATGAGAGGGCCTTCTGCGAGAGCCTGCAGGGATACCATCATGCAATACCCAGCACCGATGACTGTGATGGCATTTAAGAGTGATGAAAGAAACATCTGGAAAATAAAACAGCCATTTGCCCACATCATTCCACATTCTCAGTGTGTTTCAAGTCTCAGCAGTCCGTAGTGTTGAATCCCCAGCCACTGATCCTGGACCTTAGGTTATAGTTGGATTCAACGTGTGTAGCATAGGCATTTTGTCACACTTAATACACTTGGACTTGCCAACTGTCCTTGGAAACCTCATCATATAATTCTGAGCTGTATTCACTTTGTCTGGTCATGAAGGCCTGATTCCTAACCTCGACTAGATCTGAAGCACCTATGTTTGATATCTGTGCTCTTGGCTCCCCGGGTTCCATCTGAATTTGGTCCTCCTGGGACTAAAGCTGCCCACAGTTGGGAACTATTGCAATGGAGAGAAAGATTGGAAGCCTTTTTTAAATACAATTCATGAATCTGGGTGCTGGTGGCTCACGCCTGTCATCCTAGCTACTCAGGAGGCTAAGATCTGAGGATCATGGTTCAAAGTCAGCCCGGGCAGGAAAGTCCATGAGACTCTTATCTCCAATAAACCACTAGAAGTGATGCTGTGGCTCAAGCAATAAAGTGCTCTCCTTGAGCCGAAGAGCAGGGACAGCACCCAAGCCCAGAGTTCAAGCCCCACATCCAACAAAATAATAATAATAATGAGTCAATCATTAAAACAGAAGAAAAAAGCATAGAATTTGGCATAGGAAATAAAAGTTAATATGCGTGTGTCTTTTATTTTCCTCTCAAAGTTCTAGATTGCTTCAGTGGTTATTAGTGATGATGATAGTCACTTTGAAATTAGCAGAAATCAATCAAGAGAATACATTCTCCTGTGATGGAAAAATATTGTAGCCCCCAGAGCATTTGTAAATTTGTAAGCTGTGCTCCTCAGCCATTTTTTTGGAGGCGAGGGGCTGGTCCATGGTCTTGAACTCTGGGCTTGGGCCCTGCCCCTGAGCTCCATTTTTGCTCAAGGCTAGCACTCTATTACTTGAACTACAGTGCCACTTCCAGCTTTTTCTGTGATTAATTGGAAATAAGAGTCTCAGGGATTTTTCTGTCTGGGCTGGCTTTGAAGCCCAAACCTCAGAGCCTCCTGAGTAGCTAGGATTACAGGCATGAGCTACCAGTGCCCGGCCAGCTATCTTTTAATGACTGGGCAAAGTGGCTTCTCAACAGGTGTGTTAAAGGACATTAAACCTTGCATATAATAGCTCCTTTAATCATCTGGACCCTCCCAATCAATGCTGTTGTTAGTTTTACAGAAAGAGAAAATAGCTCAAGGGAGGTAGGTGAACTAGTTGGGATTTCTAGGAAACACCAGTGGTCTGGTTGTTTCTGAATCAAGAATGAGGAAAAAAGAAGGAAGCAAGGAGCGGTAAAAACAGGGGACAAGCCTCAGTGACCCTTTCCTGTCCTACAGCTCCAAGTCTAGGTTCCTTTTATGATGCTGTGGTCTTATCTAGACTTGAATGATATCAGGTATGACAGGAACATCTAGCTGCCAGCCAGTGAACAAAGAAGCTGTTAACCAGGTTTCATGACATTAATCAAATAAGTCAATTGTGATCCACCCATTTCTTGGCAATTACAGTTTAAGTAACACTATTAATAGCAGAGCATTGGCAATATTACACACTATTCTTGAAGCCTGTCAGGAGATCTTACAGCATGAAATTATTTTGCTTTAAGTGACTTGGATAACCCCACCTGGCTGTGTCCTCAAAGAAGTAGAACTTATGACATTGAAAAGCCGATCACTTGTATACTAAAGTGTACCGTAAATTGTGGGGGTAAGAGTGATATTTTTGCATTCTAGGATTCAGAGGAATACCAGGGTGTTTCTCAAGAATGTCACTAATATAGTATACAAGTGATGCAAAGTCAAACTCCAAATTCTCATGTTTGTGCAGACAAATGACAGGAGAAACTGAAAACTGGTATTTATTGAATATGTACAATGTATCAGGAATAAAACCAGACAAGAAATACTGCAACATTGTAATTCCAAATGAATACTGAAAGTCAGTAACAGGGAATTTAAAAAAAGACAACCTTTTATTATTACTAAGGTGATGTACAGAGGGGTTACCATTTCACAAGTCAGGTAATGAGTACATTCCTTTGTAGACAACGTTACCCCTTCCTTCATGTTTAAATGTGGATCTCCTGTAATAGATGGAAGCTCTTGGAATATCAGGGTGCTATCTAGCAAGACCAGATTTTGAATCTTCCTTGATGATGTTCTCAATAGATTGGGAGCCATTTTTAAAACCATTAACTGGGCTGGGAAGGTAGCTTAGTGGTAGAGTGCTTGCCTACCATGCATGAAGCCATATAGGTTCAATTCCTCAGTACCACATACACAGAAAAAACCAGAAGTGGCAATGTGACTCAAGTGGTAGAGCTCTAATTTTGAGCAAAAAGAAGTTCAGGGACAGTGCCCGGGCCCTGAGATCAAGCCCCAGGACTGGCTAAATAAATAAATAAAAATAAAACCATTAACTATGCCAAGCTCTGATAATCATGCATTGTGTGTTGGGATCTCTCAGAAGACCCTGAGTCTTATTTATAAGAATCACTAGTGGCAGAGATAGTGCAAAGACCATGAGTCTCGTGGGCTTGGAAAACCACACTTGCTTCACTGGAATTATTCATTTTGTGACTATCAGTTTCATGGTCAACAAATCTCAGCCTTTACTATTTCTCATTTGAGGGTTTTGAGAGGGTGAAATAATATGAATAGATTGTTGCTAAGTATTCTGAACAGGGTGACACTTAGATTCATATATACTTATTTTCTTTGAATTTAGCTTCAACTGTATACATAGTGAGTGGCTATTAAATGAAAATTTGGTGTCTATCTTGCTACATTTAATTATCATCCAGATTCCAGGAAACCAATCTTTCATACGCACAAAGAACTGAATAAACCTATGTCTTCCCTAAGTGTTGAAATCATACCACCAAACTACCAAGTCTTGAAGTATGAAAACCTGATGAGGTCGACTGCAGCTCTGGGCGAAACATAATCTCATTTTTCTAATTTCTAGCTGAGGTAGAGATGGAAAAAAAAAGACTTTAAAGGCTGGCTCCAAAGTGAAATTTTTATGAGAAAAGAAAAATAGCTTCTGGCTTTCCATACTTATGATAGAACCATCCTCCCCACTCCCCCCCCACCCCCACCCCCCGCCGCTGTTTCTGAGGATGGGGCCCTGTTGGGTGCTGATGCAGATGCCTGGGTGGCTGTGCTGAGATGTCAGTAAGCGCTAATGCCCTGGTGCTTCCCAAGCTAATGCACGTGTGCTTCAGCCCCCGCCAGGCACTCACCCCAGTCTTATTGTTGCAGCACCCTCGCTTTCTTGCTGACAAGGACATGATTGTTGCTGGAACGGCCTGGAAATCGCATTACAGGAAAGAGTATTATTCTTTCACATCAGATGAAAAAAAAAGCAGTCATCTCCAACCCTCCATTTACCAACCGGGGTGGGAAATCAAGGCTCCCCAGAACCAAAGAGGAGATTTCTCTTGAACTCTGTGATCCAATTTCAAGCCATAATGATTAAGAGCTGGGGAGAAGCAAGATAGCAGTTATGAAATCTGCTGTCTACACTCCCACTTTCCGATGATCTGCAGAGAGATTTACACTTTAAATAGGTTAGCACGGTTTATTTATGCATTATTTTGGAAGAAATATTTGGCATCATCCCCAATTCACTTTTTTTCTCTTCTCTTCCTCCGCTCCCCCCTTTTTTCCTCTCTCTCTCTTGTTTCTGCAACCTGCAGGCACTTACCCAACTTCCCACAATCCTATGAGTCAGTCTGGCAAGCCTCCAAGAAAGAAACCGATGGTTTTGTTTGCCTGGGAGTTAGCAATGAATAATTGTACAGCCCTTCCTTCTCACTTCTGTCCCTTTCTTCTCTCAGAGTCTCTAGCATCATGCCAGACTCCCCAAACCTACATTTGGGAATTATTTTGGGTTCCACGTTCTCTTTTCTGTGCCCGTAATGATCTTACTTTACACTGCTGTTCACAAGTCTTACACACATTGCTAAAGAAAGCTGTGAGAGAGCGACGCCACATCCTCAGGACTTGGGTTTCAAGTTTTAAATATTTAGTCAACAGCTATGACCAGAGAACTCTTTTCACATTAGGATAGTACAAGAGGGTTTCATGGTGATAATTTCATATATATCTATATATAGAGAGAGAGATATATTTATATATTTATATATATATTTATAATATATATATATATGTTGAACAAATTCATCTTCTCTGTTATGTTCCCCTAATCCTTTCCTCCTTTTCAGACAGGTTTTCATTATGCTATTTTTATAGAGATTCTTTCTAAGAATCTTGTGTCATTGAAGGGTGGAATGGAAATTTCTTCCTTGCATTTGAGCAAAGTGGTTTCCATCTCAGCCTAGCTGCCCTGGAGTACTTCCTTCCCTTGCTCTTGTTTCCCAATATCTGAGGTCTGACTATTCCTGGCACATAACACCATCTTCATAATCTAGTAATATGGGTATTACTTTAAGTGTATTTTATCAGTGGGGAAACTGAGGCACAACAGGTTGCCTAAAAGTGCAAGATGGAAACTCAGAAGCTTAGGTATGTAGACCACAAAAGCCAGGTGCTAGACCAGTTCCACAGGGATAGCATCTTAAATTCCTTGCCTCATCCTACAGAAAGTGCATTCATTCTCTGCCTTCTGGCCACTGCTTCCTTGCCCATCTCCTGGTCTTCTCACTGACTCTTTCCAAGGTCATACCCACCTTTGTTCTTTTAGAGCAGGCTCAAAATTCATACCTCAGACCAGTCAGCTTTCCTGATGAACTTCACACCATTTGCACATTGGCTGACTCCCTCTTACTCAATATTGCTTCTACCTCATCTCAAACATGCGGCCAGTTAAAGGTCACATGTACAGATGGCTGCCCATCCAAGGCCCAAAGAAAAGGGAAAGGGGAAAGGAAATTTTAGCCCCCAAACAAATGTCCACATTCACACACACAATGTCTTCTACTGGACCCATAAACTATACTGCAGCCTGGGTTTATAGCACAAGTGGTTCAGAACATGCAATGACAAATTTTAACCCACCACCTCTTTTGCAAATTAGGTTTTATGGATACACTCCCTTGTGTGGTCATTTACATATTGTTCATGATGACTTCTATGTACAAGCAGTAGAGTTGAGTAGTTGTGGAAGAGATTGGCTTGCAAAGTCTAAAATCTTCCTCTGTATAGGGAGTTAAATTATAACTTATATGGATGGACCATTCCATTTTTTTATTTGTGTAAATGACATTCTGCTACCTTGCTTGAGAATTAATTCATCTCAAACATGTTATATATGTATTCACATGATTCCTTTGCAGAGCTGTTTTGTAAAGTAATAACAACTTGTATGATTTGCTGTCCAGTTGACATCATGACATCAAGGTTAGATGTCATGATATCATCATGGTATCTTTATTATGCCATCCATTGTGGGTAATGATAACTCATTGTGTTTGGATCATTATGCCATTCAGTGCCTTGGAAACTGAAGGAACCCAAATGGTTGGACATTAAAATGTGAAATTGTGTTATATATATATATATATATATATATATATGGGGGTGGAGATGCATGCAGGTGTGCGTGCACACACACGTGTGTGACTTAACTATACGTCTTCCACATAATTTCCTTCATGAGTGAATAATTATGAGGATACTCTTTCACTTTGATTCTTAAATATATTTAAATACATGGGTTTTAAGAAAAATTAAAAGTCTTGCTAGTCTTTTGCTCTTTTTTCTTTTTTTTTTGTTGGTTGAACTCTGGGCCTGGGCGCTGTCCCTCAGCTCTTCAGCTCAAGGCAAGCATCTGCCACTTGAACAACAGTGCCACTTCTGGTTTTTCTGGTGGTTTATTGGAGAGAAGAGTCTCACAGATATTGGTAATTTTTTTCCTAGAAACCTATATTTCCTCTTGTTTTAGAAATTATACAATTTTATAAGGCAGTACAGAGGAGCTATAGACCATTAAAAACTCTGACAGAACCAGCCTGTTGAAACTCCTGTTGAACAAGAGAACAACACATGGAGCCATAGCTCACCGTAAATAGAAAAAACAAAAAAAAACATAACTCAGGAAGTAGAGATCGGAGGATGTCAATTCTAGTTCAAGCAGGGCAACAAAAATTAGTAAGACCCTATTTCAATCAACAATTTGGGTTTGGTGGTGCACATCTTTAATCCCTACTTAGAAGGTACAGTTTGAGGCTACCCTGGGCAAGAACATGAGACCTTACCCCCAAAATAACTAAGGTGGAAAGATTGTGGGTGTGTGGGCCCAGTGGTAGTGTACCTGCCTAGCATGAGCAAGACTCTGAGTTCAAGCCCATGACTGCCTCCCCCAACATTTTAAAAATTAATAAGATGTAGATTTTTTACAAGTGCTTCTATGTATGATGGTTCCTATCGGTTTAGCTTTCAACCACTTATTTTCTGTTTAATAACTGACTTTGATAAATTGCCAGTTAATAACCGACTTTGATAAATTGCCATTATGTAGCAAGTGAAATCAATAAAAAAAATCCAATGGTAAATATTATGCTTGCAGTTGGTTTCACATAAAATAAACTGATTGCTCTGTGTGTTTTTCAAGGAAAGATTTTTTAATATTTCTGTTAATTCTTGACTAAGTAACAGTTGTATTGATTTTTTTCCCCAGTAGATACTAAGTTACAGATAATTTCACAACATTTTACTTAGTCATTGTTTCAAAGATAAAGAGGTTTTCCTTGTTTAGGGTAAGTCATAAAACCATAAAATAAATGTATTCCATGAAGTAATCAATAACCAAAAAAAAAAAACTGCAGAGTTTGGATTATTAGCTCTAGTACAAGGTTCCCTATTTCTAAAGCAGTGCTGATAGGAAATGTTACAGCAGTCTCCAAAACATTGCAAAAGCTACGACCAAAGTGCTAATTACAGGCAGTGATTTCTCCTTTATGAACTTCTTTGCATATTTACAAGTATGTGGAGAGGTTGGTCATCTTGAGTTAGTCAATATTTCATAGATGTTGTCAAAGACATAAATTCCCCTTGGAAAACACATCCATAGTTTAGATATATCCGAGGGTCATGAAAATCCACCTGTATCCTGAGCCCTTCTCCTACCCATCTGTTTACTGGTGGAAATAGAATTTCAGCCTATAAAGTGCATCAGACATTTCAATGAGATTGATCCTTTAAATGAAGTCAGTTATAGCGAGAGGAAGTGTGGTGTGATGCTCTGGAACCTTTGGTTAATATTTATTGAGGACACTAAAGTAGATGCAACTGTGAAACAAGGAAGTCTGGCTTCTCTGAAACTGCTTCACAAGTATGTATGACCGGAATGTCATTCAGTTTCCTGGTCAGTTAACTTTATGGTTTTATCTCTCCCTTCTGTGGATCTGAGACAGGTGTTGAGGACTCTGGTCCTTTACGAGCTTAGGAGTCAGATAAATCTGGAACTGGGTTTCACACTTGCTGTGCAACCTTGTTTACATTCTCAATTTTCCATTTGCTGATCTGTAAAGATGACATGCGCCCAGATTATCATGCAGGTCAAAAAGAGCTAGTGCTGTAATGTATGAACCCAGTAGCTGGCACCCAGAAGCCTATCAATAATAGTAAGTTTGTGCTCCTGGGTCTCTGTCTGAGCCTTTGTCTCTTCTCTTCCTGTAAGAATCATGACCTCGGGCTTCTTTAAGATTAGGAAGAAAACACATTTTGAATTCATGGTGGGGTTTTTGTCAATAACCGTATTTGTCTAACACCGCCGGGGTTTTGCTAAATGGATTCTGTTCACTCTGGCGGTTAGGAGCCTTGTGGGCATTGTCATTGTTCTGTGGTACTGAGCCAGCATCTCCTGGCCTTCCCTTACTGCAGATGCCAGGGAGGTTCGCGCTGCTGAGGAGAAGCGCCGCCTTCCACAGGGGAAGAGGTGGGTGTGAGGGTTAACTTCCCCGGATGGAGCAGTGTTTTCTCTCTGCCAGCCTGGATGAGCGCTGTCCTGGAAGTTTGAAGAAGTCTATAACGTCCCAGAACCTGTCTCTTTAGCTGTCTCTACCTACACCAGGTGCATCGATGCTCCTGATGGTGAAGGAGGAGGAAGCCAGTGCCCCTTGACCTTTAGAGAATGTTGTCTTCCATGGCTTTCTGATGCCAGGGAGACCCCCCAATCCACAGTGCCAGCCAGAGGGAAGAGGTAGTGTGGCCTAGCAGTGTGGGGAATGGGGCTGGTTTTGTTTGCATTTTAGTTTTGTTTGTGATTTCTGAGACAGAGTCTCACTATGTAGCCCAGGGAGCTCCAAACTTGTAATCCTCCTGTCCCAGCCTTCTGAGAGTTGGCACTACAGGCATGTACCACCATGCCCACATCTAAAAGTGTTTTTTTAATCTATTTCTGTGGACAATACTAATGGCAGTAATTAATCATCCTTAGAAATTATGATTTAAACCAGGAATTGTGCTAGCACCAGCTCTCTGGGAGCTGCTACATAGCAAGGTTCTGACTTAGTAACCCAAACCAAACAAACAAAAATAATCATCGTAAAAAGTAGTAATTAAATTAGAAGGCTATGTATTGAATTTTTCTTTTGTATATAGGTCCTGAATTTCTGTAGAAGTTATTTCTGTGTTTCAGCATCTCTAAAATACTGATGCTGTCAGTGTTTGCATCCCTTTCTCTCTCTGTATCTGTTTCCGTCTCTCTCTCTCTGCCTCTCTCTCTCTCTCTCTCTCTCTCTCTCTCTCACACACACACACACACGCACACACACACACACATACACCACATTGGGTACTAAGTAGGCTTCTTGAAGGAGCATGCATCTCTGTCGCTCTCTGTCTCTGTCTTACTCTCTTCTCTCTCTCCTTCTCTGTCTCTCTCTCTCTTACACACACACACACACACACACACACACACACACACACATTGGGTACTAACTAGGCCCCCTGTTTTATGGTGGAATACACTGGGTTCTGCCAAGCCTACTGCATCACAGCTCCCAGGAAAATGTCTCTCTACTAATTACTGCAAGTGCCTAGGCTACCTGTGTTAGGGTATGCTCACACATTCTGTGTTGAACTGCTCTGCTGCAGATTTCAGCAGAAGTAGACCCGTGAAGGACTGTCAACTCAAACTCCATAGTGACCCAGGATTTGTATAATAACCAAATCAAAAAGTCCCGGAGGACAAACTCCCAGAGTTTCAGTCTGTCAGTCACAGATGAACACCATGCTTCGGAAGGCTATGCCACATTTTTGCCTCACAATGCTGCTGTCCAGGACAGTAGTCAGGCATGGGGAGGCTTTTCAGGTCTACTGAGCAGCTTCCCATTCCTCCTGGGTTTCCCATAAACACTTAAGAGATTGGTAGAGGCAAAGGGAAGCTGAGGAATAGATCATTGTCTGTGGGGCCAGGTGGTGTAGCTCGGTGATAGAGTGCGTGCTTAGTATGTACGAGGGTTTGGGTTGAATCCCCAGCACCACATCCAAAAGAAAAACTTGAGAAAGACAATGATCCTTAACACAAAACTATGATTATTAGAATCACTACCCTACCCATGGGGAAAAGAAATTTGCTATATAACAATCTAACCCACTTTTGTCAGTTATTTTCTATTTTTCCTAAGTCCCCTAGCCAATACCGAATACTTTGTACATTGCAAATCCCATAAAATCTCACCTGCAGCTCATACTGCTGATGAGCAGCATGAATCAGTACTGTACCATTGTTTCTGACTGGAGGAAAAGACAGAGAGAGACCTAGCTGACCGCATGGCTGAGAGACAAAACAGGCCGTTCTCCAAACCAAGTGAGAGGAGGATTACTCACCATCAAGCCTGCTCCGATAATCCCCGGGAACCACCACTCATAGCAAGAGATGGGGTTTTGAAAAGCTTGGTCTTTCTCGACCAAGCTGATCCCCAGAGGAATTGCATTGAGAACAACCCCCAGCAGAAGCAGCACCAGCAGGGAGAAGCCATTGCAGGATGTCCAGCCCTCGCAGCACGTCATGGTCAGCCCTGTTCAACTAGAAACCTCATCCAAGTGGCTGGGTTTTCGTGGCTCTCTCCTGACTTTTATGCCCATGCTCTGGTTAAAGTTTAGCACTTGTGAAAAATGAATTTCAAAAAGTAGTCCAGAGTCCAATAGGGCAGGACGTTAACTTATGAGGATTATGACGGGAACTAATGATCATTTTATGTTATGATAGGTTGAAGGAAGGCCAGCAGAAATAAAAACCTGTGGTTGCTGTGAGGCAAATTAGCACATGCCGGTAGGCAGATAAAAACTGGGGCGGAAGGGTTGGAGGAGAGGCTGGATTTGAGATGGGCTTCTTTAAAATATTCCTTTACCAGTATGCATACCTTACAAAAAGTAAAAACGAGCATATCCAATTAGCACAAACTATTTTTCCTTATTATTGATACTCATTCCTTATTTTGGAATTACTTAATAAAGAACAGAAACACATATATATTTTTCTTCCACGTATATATTTTTGTGGGGAGTGGTATTACAATTCCAACGTTCTCAATTATTCTGAATACAAGGATTTCATTTCAGGCTCTTTGTGTGTATGCATGCACACACACACACACACACACACACACACACACACACACACAAACGCTTTTCTTTAAAATTCCAGTCTTGTACACTATATTGGATTTATCCCATCCCATCTAAGATATATGGGAGGTTTGGCTAATGCTACCTGACTGAGCGATCAGGTATGACAACCAGATGAGAGATATCAACAGGAGAACAAAGAGAGGAGAAATTGATTTATCTTGTTTCATTTAAGGCTTGAATACTGACTTGGCCATGCATGTACAGTACTTGACATGCTAGACTATACTTCCATATTCTCTCCCTGTGAGTGTATGAACTCCTCAAGAAAAGACTCAAATCCATTGGATATACTTCAAAATTCAAAAGTTCTCACTTGTGCTAGCTAGTCCTCATAAGGACAAGGGGTTGTATTCATGGTAGTTCCTGGGAGGCCCAGAAAAACAGCAGTACCATTTCAGAACCCCACAAATGCAGCAGTGAGGTTCAAGAAATGTGATGAGGGGCTCGTCACCAGTTTCTACCTAGAAATAATCCACTCCACTCATGTTCATTCATTGGCCAAATGATTTGGTTTGTTCTGCTTGAACTTAGGTAGATGTTAAATCACAAGCCACTGACTGTATCCATAAGAAAAGGATCCATCATTAGGCAACTCTAATACTGCAGCATCATCCCCTGTTTCTGTGTGATTCCCAGCTTAGCTCAGAGCAAGGACTCACCAGATGCTACTACAGGTGATGGGGAGATAAGACAAAGGGAGAAGGAGGAGGTAAAAGAGGAGGATGAGGAAAAGGAGGAGAAAGAAGAGGAAGAAGAGGAGGAGAAAGAGGAAAAGGACGAAGAGGAGGAACAGGAAGAGGAGGAAGAGGAGGAGGAGGACGAAGAAAAAGAATGGGAGATGGAGAAGGAAGAGGAACATGAGGAGAAAGGGGAGGAGGAGAAGGAGAAAGGGGAGGGGGAGAAGGAGAAAGGGGAGGGGGAGGAGGAAAAGTGGAGAGGAGCCCTTGTTTAGGAACCGGAAGTGAGGCACAAGATGGCTTTAGTGAAAGTGTGGCTGCTGACTTGTCAAAGGCTTCCTCCCTTGTGATCACTAACCTTATGAAGACTGACCTCAAGTCCTTTCTTGGTTTTCCTTAAGTTGCCTCATAGTCTCATAAGAAATGATCCCTTTTACACTTTTAAAAATACTTTTTATTATCTCTGAGTACTTATACAAAGGAGTTGCCAGCAAACAAAGCAGTTTATGAATTCAATGCATCTTGATCAATGTTAGCCCTTTCAACACTCTTCACGATCCCTCTCCTCACCCCTTCTTTACTTGTCTTAATTTTGTAGGATATATGTTGAATTTTATAACTACATTCTCCGCCACTTCCTCTCTTTATTCATCTACCTCTCTCCCCTTGACCTCACCCCACCCCTTTCAAGTTCCTGGTGCTTGTTTTATCAAACTATGTTGTAGCCTTCTTAAGGAATTATGCCATTTGAGTTCTCTCCTGAATCTATCATATGTCAGTTAACACATTTTGCATATACTTGCATAACCACGCAGTGTATTTACTAAAATAAGCAAATACTAGCTTCCACACATGAAGGAAAGCATGTAATCATTGTCTTAATTCACTTAACATGATTTCCTCCAGGCCCTTTCAGCTCTTTGCAAATGGTACAATATCATTCTTTCTCATAAATGAGTAAAATTCCATAGTGTGTGTGTGTGTGTGTGTGTGTGTGTGTGTGTGTACAAGCATGTATCACAAGCATGTATCCAGTTCTTGGTCTATTGAGGGGCATGTGGGCTGATTCCTTACCTTGGCTATGGTGAATAGTGCTGCAATGAACATGGTAGTGCTGATGGCTTTACTGTATCCTGGTCTGAAATTTTTTGGACAAATGTTCGAGAGTGGAATTGCTGGATCATAGGATAACTCTGTGTTTGGCTCCCTGAGGAACCTCCATACTGCTTTCCAGAAGAGGCTGAGCAAGTTTACATTCCCACCAGCATACTAGGGTTCCTTTCCACCCTGCACCAACATATTGCTTATTTCCTTGATAATGGGCATTCTAACTGGGGTGAGGTGAAATCTCTGTGTTGATTTAACTTTCTTTTCCTTATGGCCAAAGATGCTGAGCATTTCTTGTGCCTGTTGGCCACTTTGACTTTCTTCTTCAATCTATTCACATTGTATATTTTTGTGTCAAATTGTTACAGTAACTAGTGCTATAAATTTGCAATCCCTCCCACACCTTTTCATCTTTCGCCATTCTAGTCTTCAGAAGTTTACAACCTGTGTTTTCAACAAGCCAGTCAAAACAAGTGTCGTGAAATGTCATCTTTTCCCAGTGTTTTAAGATGTTATATTTAGGAAAACAAGAGAAGCCCATACACTGCATGAAACATATGGTTTATAACCAATGTACACAGATGTATAAGTATAGAAATTGCTCAAAAAGAGAGCAAACATTTTTAAATGGAATATGATAAACGACATTATTGTCCAACCCACTAACTTCATTAATGTGAATTTTTAAACCCTCATGAAGTAAGATTTGGCGTAGGTGTTTTCTGTTGTTTTGTTTTGGGGTGTGTGTGTGTGTGTCTGTGTGTGTGTGTGTGTAGTTGAACTCAGGGCCTCATGCTCTTGCTTAGCTCTTTCACTCAAGGCTGACACTCTACCACAATTCCAATTCTAGCTTTTGTTTGTTTGTTTTTGGAGTTCGGTTAGTTGGGGTCAAGGGTTTCATGGACTTTTCTTCCCTGGATGTCTTCAAACCAGCATCTTCAGATCTGAGCGTCCCATGTAAATAGGATTACAGACAAGAGCCACTGATGCCTGGCTGCTTTGTTCTGTTTTTGTTATAAATAAGTCTATCTTGCATTGAGAGTGTATTTTTATACTGAATTTGATGCCCTCTATAGACAAAGCATAGATAAGAGAAGTCTTTAGAGTGTCAAAGTGGAGACCTATAAGTTTAGTTTTGAGAGCTCCATAGATTCCAATGCAATTAAAGGTAAAAAGTCCTTCAGGACTCTTACTTAATTCAAGCTTACTATTATTTCATAGATAAATAGGCAAATCGGGAGGACTATTTGTCTACTCAGGTATCCAGCACAGTGTGGGCTGAAATGTGGCCTTCTAGTTTCGCCTCAGGTGTATTTCTATTACCTTGCACAGCTAAGCACAACCTAAGCATAGGACAGAGTCCAGCCCCTGTGGCACCTGCCAGATGTTGGGAAGCGCCTTGCAGTGGCAATTCTTCTGACAGCAGCTCTTCTGCTGGCAGCAGCCCACCCCACAGCCACTGCCGCTTGAGCCAAAGCCACACAAGTGACATCAGGTGCCGTGGCAACAGCAGTACCTGAGGGAGCAGCCATAGCAACGGCCACAGCCACAGCCACAACCCATGATGTCAACAGAGAGGACTTCGGGGAGGCGAGAAGACAAGACCCGAGAGAAGACAGCAGATCTGATGTCCCCTCGACTGAGGGGCCCTTAGATATTATCTTTGGCTTGGGCCTGGCCCAAGCAAATAATTAATTCCCCGTTGTTTGTCTCCATTTCCTTGAGAGAAGTTTATAGCCCCTTTGGTTTACTTTCGCCTTAGGGATTATAAAGGCATATTATAATGACATGTTTACACCAGGACTATAAGGGCCTGAAATAATGTGCAGTCAATGAAAATCTCACTCTGAAGTCTTGATTTGAACTGTAAAACACAATGGTAATTGTGCCATCCATCCTTTTCCACTTTCTTTGACATCATCCCTGTCACTTAGAAGTACTTTCTAAGACTCCACCGATTAGATGTCTCAAAAGTAATGTTTCCAAACATATGCATGCCAGATTCAGAGAGACGAGTCTGAAGGGCCTAGAGAGGAATCTGGGGGTCCTTGCCTGTTCTTTCCCAGGCTTCTCAGGGTGGTCACTGGTTGTTCTCAGGTCTTGCAATAAAAGGTGTGGCTGGCTCTTGCCTAGCACATGCAAAGACCCGGGTGTCACAGCCAGCATTGCAATAAACACAGCTGTTAAATAAATTAATAAATAAAAACATTTTAAAAGGAGAAGTTGGTAAAAAGAAGACTTTCCGGATAGCAACACTTGGGGGGTGATGGGGTCAAAACCTGGAGCAGCTGTTGTTATGCAGGACATGTGCACTACATGTGGTGTGCAAACATCCAGGCTTACGTGACACAGATAGGTGTGTCTACCCTCGGATAATGTGAACCGCAGTCTCCCTGTATAGCACCAAGGTTTGCCACCAGGGCCCATACACAGAAAGAGGACAGTAGAAGCAGCCATGTTTAAGATTCTCATTTGATATTCAGCAAAGGGTCCTCATTGACCTGGATAGTATCCCTCTGAGAAAATCATTTAATAATTACTGAGGTTTCCCACATATCCCTTGGGGCTCAGTTACTGAAGATATTAGTACTGATC